GTGACTGAAGGGAACATGAAGGTATCAGCCTCTTCTTTGGTTCTTTTTCTTTACTCAGGTCCTCCCCCCTCAGGACCCCCTCCTACAGTGAAACCCCAGGTTCAGTCGCCCATGAAGCCTCAGCCGGGTCCCCTTTCCACACAGTCTCAACTCCCTCCACCAATGCAGCCCACACTTCCAGCTCCTCTGCAGCCGCAGCAAGCCGCTGCTCCTACAGCAGCAACTCCACCTGCTGGATCCCCTTCCACCACCACCACCCCTGCTGGGCCTCAGCCCAGTCTGGCCTCTCCTAAACCTCCACCTCGTTCCCGCTCCTCTCATGCTCTGCCGCCTGAAGCTGCCAAGTCTGAAACAGCCCCAGCTGCACAGGTTGGTGTCCATTTTCTGTCATTAAATCATTGGAATTTCAGCATCTGAACAAAGAACACTAACCCATTTACTAGTAGAAGGATATTAAACTCTATGATATGGATTTACTTTCATGTTCTGCTCACCGAATGAGACACTGCACTTCTAATATAGACAGATGTCCCTGTTTTCTAGTAGTGATAAAAACAGAAATCTTTTTTCTTCTTCTTTGACCCGCATTAGATTAACTTAGTTGTCTGTCATTCTTCCTGCTTTTGTCTCTGATGTATTTCTCTTTCTCACAAGCTGGAGAAGCCATCAGGGTGAAAGGTACTTAATATTAAGAGCTTGTTGTTGCCATTTCCTCTCATTCAGCCCGTCATATGTTCTCACTCATACGTGCTTAAACTGTTTTAACATTTTAATTTAACCCAAGTCCATTAATTTGTGTTACATTTAGTGATTCTATGTTGATTTTGATGCAAGTGCCGTTAATTTTAAGTCCACTACATTAAAGGTACCCTGTGAAGAACAATGAAAGGAATGTTTAAAAAGTTAGACAAAATGTAACACATTAAAAGCTTCAAAGAACAATTTGTCAGTTTGTCAATTATCTAAAACAAATTTAAATGTCAAATTTCAAGCAAACTTTTGTTCACTATCTCCAAAGGGTATCTTTACGTTTTTTTGTCTCCAAACATAACATGACGTTAGCGCTTCAGTGATTTTATAGCACATGGTTTGTATTTTCTAACTATAGTTGTTTTAGTTTGAAAGGTGTTTTCTTTGTTTCCCTCTCTTTAGACGAACGGACTGAATGGATTCCTTAAAGAAGCACAACTGAAGCCTGACCCCTTTGACACGCTTACACCTGACTTTCTCTCCTCCTCCTCCTCCCAACGTACCATCCAGTCACTGAACAGAGGCTCCTTCCTGCGTTCTCCACCCTCCGTTCCTCCATCTTCCTTTTCCTCCGCCACTCTCCCCTCTTCCTCCTCCCACCAGTTATCCGCTGTATCCGACCTCCAGTTCCTGGATCCACCTTCTTTTCCCTCGTTTTCCACCCCGTCCGTGCTGCTCCCGCCTCCTCCAGCCCCCTCTCGCAGTCGTTCTCAGGAGACGCTGCACGCCTCCCCCAACCCCTTCATCTCCGACCCGCTCCCCGCCCGACCCAACAGCACCAACCCGTTCACAGGCCCCCTGGCACAGCGGCAGCATGAACAGAGGCGCCCGCTCACCCCAGACTTCAGCCTCCAACGTGAGAGCCTGCCTGCTCTAACTCAGCCACTCATTCCCACCCCCGCACCAGCTGCTCCCCCCTCTCAGCTTGATCCGTCCACGTCTCTGTTCAGACCCACAGCAAGTCAGAATTATTTGCTTCCTCTTGCTTCTGAGCCATCCCCTGCCCCCACTTTGCCCCTGGCTCCCCTTTCTTCACTTCCTCCTGCACTTGCACCACGTAGCCATCCACCTCCCTCGGGAGGCAACCGAACGAGACCGTGGGTCACATTTGATGACGATTTGAATTTCAAACCCCAAATCAAAACGCAAGAAAAACCCAATTTCCTTTCCACTCCCCTCGTGTCCCAAACTCAGACTCAGCCGTCCCGCTCTGTATTTGACTCGGAGCCAGACTGGTTATCTTCTGCGCCTGAGGTATTCCTGCTCCCTACCGTTCCCACTAGAACTGCAACCAGTACCCCAAAGCTCCCGGAGAGACCCGGTAATAATGGCTTCTTCCCCCGGGAGTCGACGGAAAGATAATAACCTTCATCTTTACGGGGTATATTCATATATGTATAGATCTATGATAAATGTGTATACGTTTGTGTGTATGTACAAAGGATTATCTAAAAAGTATATCCAAATCCAGAGTGTTTTAAACAGAGAGGTTTTCCTTCTTCCCTGATAACAGCATTTATTTCTATTTTAATGTTTATTTACAGCCGCAAACATGTGCCTGTGTCCACAGTGTAGCGTTCTATACGTAAACAATATGTTGAACTACATGTGCAATATCAAGACCTAACTGTGCGTGTCATGGTGAAGTAAACCTGCGTGACTCCACAGTTGCTTCAGTTCGTCTCAGTGGTTCATATCCATCATTCTGACTGCTCTGGTCATCTTAGTGGGAACGCTCTTGGGTTTATCCCATCATAGCATAAAATGCAGAAACGATTTGGTCCTATATTTGCTGCTTTTGCAGCAATATGATTTATCTGATGTGTTTTTCTTGTTGTTTTTTTAAAGACATGCTAATTTTAAAAACGTGTCTTGCTGTTTTATGAATGTAGTTTAATTTGCACTGAGTTTTGCCTTTATGTTGTGAGAGAGAGAGACTGCAACATGAGGCAATCAGGCGGCCGCACGACTGAAACTGTATTACCACCTCCGTTTAACAGTAATACGTTACGATCTCTTGTCATTCAGTCAGCATTAAGCTGATACACTTGGCTGAATATTTTTTTATAGAGCTAAATTTAAACCATACCAACCAGTTATGGAGATGTGTATCATTTCAATATGGAAAGTACTTGCTGCAGCAAGACTGCAGACTAAACAAGAGGGCTTTTTATCTCTTCTCCTCCTCTGTAGTGAACGTCTCTTTGGTTTCTCTATGGCACCAAACAGTGCTATTGTAAGCTCAAAGAGTGTTACCGTTGTGTGTACATGTACTTGAAGTACAGCAGTGATGCCATTTGGATCAGCAAGCAGTTATTAACATAATGGCACTTTTTTTTTTGTTTAATTTTATGTAAAGGAGAAGCCGTGCTCACCTGTTGTAACTCTTAATCTACTATTATTACTACTGTGGTGAGACGTGATGTGCTGTGTTTGAGGTCGTCCATTGTTGTGTTGGTTTGGATGCGTGCGAGCGTGTAAAGATTTTAGAGTGGACGGGCAGAGTTTTCCTCAAAGGAAGTCTTTTCGTTTTAAATAAAAGCAGCACATTTCCTTGCAGTCATTCGTGGCTGCAGCTGTATGTGAAAACAAGGATAACGTCTCTGCAGCCAAGCTAACTGATTACTCCCCGTCATTACTGAGCACGTACACTGAACTGTCGTGTGCAAGATCAGAACCTTTCCAGTTCAAGTGGTTTATTCCAGTTGAGTTTTTTTTGCTGCACTTCCCAGAGATTTGAGTCACTTTTTGAATGCGTGTCAACACTTTTGTCTTGCATTACCTGCTTTACTCATTAACAGTGACGAGCAATAGGTGCATAAAGGCTCAATGACGGTACTATCCTCTCGCAACATGACACACACCAGCTGTTTTTCTCCCTGCCCTAAAAATTATATATTGAGCAAATGTGTCTGGTAAGCATTTTGCTGAATCATGAAAAAAAAATCAGATTTATAAGACCATTACTTCTCTGCTCTTTACACATTTGTAAACAAAGCAAAAAGTAAGCAGTGTTGCATGCAACGATGGCAGCAGCCGTTTGTGTGAGCAAGTGCATCAGGCTGCATTTGCTTACATCATCTCTGAACTGCATTCGGTGTGTTAGTGCGTGCAGTAGATGCTGTATGAGGTTACTAGTCACCACTTTGTCAGGTCACGGTTTACGATTCAAGTTTATCGTTATAATTTTTTTTAGAAGGCAAGTTATTCCTTTTGCGACATAGATGTCCCTGTGTATGGCTATAATCCATAGTTAATAGAAGTCCGTGTTGTGAGTCATTCTGTGTGTAATAAAGTGAACACACACAGCTGTAATTCATGTTAATATCTAATGTTCTATAAATCAGATTATTGTGCAAACGGCACATTTATGTATGAAGCAGTCTGTGTTGGATGTATGCTAAATAAACGTACGTTGACACGAGCGTGCGTTTGTTTTTTTTATTGTAGGATGGAACTTGATTGTGCAAGAATTAATTAGTTTTAAACAATATACCCCTTTTTTATTGTCTTGGCAACTATATATATATATATTTTGTAGTAGCAAATTATTAAAGTCTTTGGTAAAGAGTTTCTGATTACTAATAAGATCAGATTAGAAGTAAACTGAAAACGTACTAATGTAAAGATTTTATCATAAACTAACATTTTCGTTTATTATTAACTTTTATTTCTCCAGGCAAATCCCACTGAGATCACAAATCTCTTTCAATAGAGCCCTGAGCCTGAAGGCAGACTAAACATGTGAGGGATACAATGCTTATTTTCAGTTGAATTAATATTTAATTTGTCATTGAGTGTTTCATAAGTGTTTCCTTCCTTTGATGATCTATTTCAGGCTATTCTTTAATTTTCTTTAACCACACAAACAGATCAATCGTCTGTGCCCCTCAGCATATAGCTTTAAACAGACACAGACTTGTCTAACAGATTGGCAGCATACCCAGACTTGAAGTCATTATTTGTTTTAAATTTAATTTAACCTTTATTTATAGTCTCATTGAGTCACGAGGACTCATTTTCAAGAGAGACCTGTTTTAGACAACATGCGGCGTACAGACCATATACAAAAGCAATAAAATAAGTCAAATCAAGGTAAAATACTGAACCATTTTCTAATGATCTTATCAAATGTTTAAAATACCTTAAATAAATCAAGGTGGACAGCTTCAGACCTTGTTGCAAGGTGTTCCAGAAAAGGCCTTTATGCCAAGTTCAGTCCGTACTGAGGGAACGCTGCAGATAATGAAAGCCTGACAGCCTTCATGTCATGGATGGTGCAAATTCTCTTCTTGTTTTATTCGTACCAATACATTTATTGTTCGATATTTTTAGCACATTTTTATCAATTTTAATGTTTGTATTTTATCCCATAGTGGCCAATCTGTGTTTTTGTGTGTGTGGTAACTACAACACAAATGTTATTTAATACAATATTATACAGTAATGTTTAAATAAATAGATAATAAAAATCATAGATACAAAATGACCAGTATAGATTTAAAATCAGCCATGCATGCATTGTAGGTCTTTGGAAGATGACTGGGACCTTTTTACGGCTGTAGCTGAAGGTTCTGTTCTTGGTTCCGTTTTTTTTTTCTTCATATATTTGTGCCTAATTGCGTCACAAATTCCCCTTTAAAACACCTTAAAATACAGCTATAGTAAATCACTATCACAGCTAAAATACCTTGTGAAAAGAAAAGAAAAGAAAAAATCACCTGATGTTGTAATGTCGTTTTCTGCCGTTAGAGGGCAGTATATGTGATGAGGCAATAAGGGGGCGTTCGTTAAAAAGTTGTAGAAGAAGAAGCTGAACCTCACGTCCTGTAGATGTAACGTTAGCGAGAAACGGGATAAGCATCTAGCTTTAATAACGAAAGAACCTACTAGGTTTAGCTGCATAGGTAAGTGTTAATCTTTTTTCACTGTAAAGAGGTTGAAAACGCTGTGCAGTAGCTCGATGCTAAAAACATCAGCTAAGCTAACAAGTGTTATTGGACGCGCGCTACTCCTCTGTTGCCATGGTTACTCAAACACTGGCCTGTCGTCCGGACTTTCGTTCTAGGTTCATTTAGGAACAAATAACCGAGCTTTTCTTTCAGGAGGTTAGTTTGTGGAGAGCATGGTGCAGCTGCACGTGAAGCGCGGAGATGAGAGCCAGTTTCTGTTCAACGCCACGACAGACGCTCCTCTGGAGGCGGTGACCCAACAAATTACAGCCATTTACAACGGGAGGCTCAAAGTGGACCGAATCTGTTCAGGTGAAAACTTACCTGTCCTCCTCGTTTACACACTCCACTTTCTACATATGTGGAAACACACATAATAACAGCGTAGTTAACTTAGAACAGTAAACTTTCAACAATATTACTAATATATTTTTTGTTTATTTCATCTTAGTCTAAATAATTTGCCTGCAATATCTCTGAGCTCAAGTGAAATGAATTTTCTGTCCAATATCGACACAGATGTGTTTGTTCTTTTGTGCGGTTATATCCTCAGAGATCCCAGAGCTTGCAGATCATGGTGTCACACTTCCACCCAACATGCAGGGGCTGACGGAGGAGCAGGTTGTGGAACTGAAACTGAAGGATGAATGGGAAGACCGGTGTATTCCTAGTGGCGGGTCGGTATTTAAAAAGGACGACATCGGAAGGAGGAATGGACATGGTAAAAGTTTACTTCTTCCGTTACGCTGAGTAGGAATAAAAGCAAACAGACCTGGCTGTGCTTTTAAATATAGTGACGTTTTGCACGAAACTGCATTATTTAACACATGTGGACAGACTTTGCCCTTTCATTATTTAATCAATATTGTGCTTAAGCTGTTACACAAAATGACGTGCCCTGCTCTGACATGTTCATGCTCTGAATGTATTCTTTTAAAAGCCTTGCATAAATTTGTCCAGCGTCCTTGTTTGTTTACCCAAGTATATTCCAAAATGGCACTTTTATTCAAACCAAGTATCTCCCTTACATAAGCCCCTAATGATAAAATGAAGGAGGTGTTGATGAGGACTGTGGAGGAGGCAAAGGCGCTCATCTCCAAGGTAAAATATGGATTAATTTGTTTCATTTGTCAAAGAGAGGACAACAGTCACATTTGTGGTTCTCCTAATTTTGCAGAAACAAGTTCAAGCTAATGTTTGTGTCACCACGGAAATGGTAAAGGAAGCCCTGGATCAGCTAAGGGGCGCAGTGATGATTGTGTACCCCATGGGACTTCCTCCTCATGACCCTATAAGGATGGAGTTTGACAACCAGGAAGAGCTCTCGGGGACACAGGTGAAACATCGGATCCTGTTACTGTTTGATAAGATCCTTTTCAGTCCCTTACATCATTCTCCTTCTGCACGTTCCGCGTCTTCCCTCTCGAACCGTCTCTGCACCTCAGGCGTCTCTCCAGGTGATGTCCGAGGATGAATGCCAGCTGTGGTGGGCTGGTAAAGAGATGCAGAGAGGCAAAAAGCTGCAGGACTATATTGGCAAAAATGAAAAGACAAAACTTGTGGTCAAAATCGTAAAGGTAGGCGGCATCTGGATCAGACTGCAGAGTTTTTGCAACCTGCAGCATGTTTTTTTTCTTTTTCCCAAATAATCTTTGTTACTTTTTTTTATCGTTTCAGAAAGGACAGGGGGCACCAGCGAGAGAGCCTCTGGTCACTGACGAGCAGCAGAAACAGATGATGCTGCATCATTACAGAAGGCAGGAAGAACTTAAGGTGAGGATAGGTAAAGCCAAATAATGCATCTCATGTAACTATACTGTATATGCAGCGTATCTTCTTACATCATTTTCAGAAACTGGAGGAGGCAGATGATGACAGCTACCTGGACTCAGAGTGGTCTGACAGACAGGCCCTCAAACGACAGTTCCAGGGACTTACCAACATCAAATGGGGGCCGAAATGACGTTCAAATTTATTCTCTGCACCTCTGCTAGAGAAGTACGTTAACAGCTCCGAATGCAGTTGATCAAGATGCCTTAATACAGACGTCTGTTTTTACTTGAAGTCTTCCAGAGTACCGTTTGTCTTTGGACATATTCCTATAGCTTGACTCTGCAAACATCTGAAGGACAAATCAAGGCTCATTACAGTACGGGTTCCGAGGAAACTACTTTTCTGATAAATATGTCATCTTGATGGAATTTTGTGCTTTAAAATCCCTTTGTGTTAAAATAAAAATAAAGATTTGTTTCCTATGCATTTAGTGAAGTAATGTTGCAAATAGAAGATACCGTGTTTTTCGCCCTATAAGTCGCAGTTTTTTTGCATAAATTACATGCCCTGTGACTTATACGCCGAAGCGACTTATTTATGGATTTTTTTCCCACGTTTATAAACCGATTTTTGTCTGAGATATGACCGTTTTCATTCAGACTGACAATATTGAACACTGCCATTTTCAGCCGCTAGATGGCGCTCAAGTATAATGGCACGCCGTTGTATCATGTAATAGGTAAAAGTGGCTATTAATGACACAATTGGCTTGCCATACAAAGTAAGCTTGAAGCTATCATCAAATCTGCTTCATTTCACTGCACTGCCCCAGCGAAATGAAGCTGATTTGACCATTAAAGTGCATTTATTAAGTAAAAGTTCATCTGAGATACACCTGCTATAATGTCAAGCAAACAAATAATTGTTTTAGGTGCTTATTGTTAAATTTCGAAGAAACGAGCAGCGTTCCTCTTTTATGATTTCCTCCCTGTCTGCGCGCTCCCAGAGCACCGAGGCAGCAAATCCTTTTGAAATGCAGCTGATTTGACCGTTAAAGTACATTTTTTAATTAAAAGTTCAACTGAGACACACCTTTACTATAAAGTCGAGCAAACAAGTACTTGTTTTTAGGTGTTTATCTTGTTGAATTTTGAAGAAACGTGGAGGCTCGTCCCTCTGCGTGTGCCTGCCGCTTCCGCGAATCGGGTTTTGAAATGCAGCCGATTTGACCGTCAAAGTGCATTTATTACGCAAAAGTTAGACCGATACACACCTTTACTATAATTTCAAGCAAATAATTGTTTTTAAGTGTTAATCTTGTTAAATTCTTAAAGTCCTCCCGTGCACACGCTACCATTTAGCAGCCAATTGATTTTTGGCACAACGCCAGCCCACATTTCCGGGTTGTCAGCGGTGACGCATAATAGATGCGACGTATACGGCGAAGCGACGTATTTATGGATTTTTCCACTTTGTTAGACATTACTTGGACTGATGCGACTCATAGGGCGGAGCGATGTGTACGGCGGAAAATAAGCTAATTGTACACCCCTTTGGGTTAAGCAACAAGGATGCTCCACTTTTCCTCTCTGTCTCAATAGTAGCACAGAAACTACCTAAAGTCACTGCTGCTCAGAAGTGGGAAGTGGTCACATTGTAATCGTCTCAGCAAAGCGAAACAAACTGTTTACTTCTCTGCTTTGATAAGGGTGAACTTCATGTGAATGATTGAAAGAGGCCAGTGTACAAGGAGCAGTCTGAGCTGCCAGTGAGGAAACGACTGAATGACAGCACGTTGAGCCAAAAACATGTCCGTTTATCATGCAGCAGTACTGGTGTCGTCTTAAACACTGTCACGCAGCGTACATGGATGCATTCAAGAAGTACTATTTTGAACTCTTTAGCATCAGTGGTCTTGTATTTTTAGCCCAAAATATATGTTATATTAAAAGGTACTGAGGACTGGTCAAAAACTAAAATCGTTAACAAAACCTGCACAATTTGAGATTTGCACAAGCAAAACGGCGCTCTACTGTTTCCATTGAATGATGCAGCTGCTGTGAGGCTGGATGATAATGAAACGATACTATAAGAGGCAGAAACGATAACAGAGCAGCTTTATGAATTATATCCAGTGATGTGAACCTTTTCATAACATAATCTCAGCTTTAGCTGATAAATGTGAGTGAATACAATGAGTGGGTTTTTTTTTTTACAACACAAACAATGTCAACTCTATTGCAGAATAATATTGCATTCTATTGCAAAAATGGCAAAACTGTGATATATGATATTTGAAAAAGTCTCTTTGCCATGAACCATTGTCAAAAATCATAAGGCGGCATCTGCAGAGGGTAATGTATTCAACAGGGGGTGCCATTTAAATAAGAGTTCATCCAAATTTCCTGGATGATCATGTCTCTGCGCTCAATCTTCTCCGCCAGTTCTGCTTCCTCGCTCACATAAGTCACTTCATCCCAACCGTTTCCCTCCTTCCTCGCTGTAGCCGAGAGTAAAGAGCTCTCTGTTCCCTCATCGTCATCATCACCTTCCGTTTCCTCCTCCACATTGTCCCGCTCCTGGCAGTGAACTGCCTTGGCTGTGCGTCCCTGATGTCTCCCTCGGCAGGTCACTTGGACAGACAGAGCCAGAAGGGTAAAGAGGAGGCCGACGCACACGCTGGATGTGAACAGCAGTGCTGCCATTTCTGGGTGTTCTGAGTTTTTGAGGGGTAGGAATAGGGAATAAATTTCTGATTTTCTGCATATGATGTGAATTGTCAGCTGCAGCATGTGGGGAATATTTACCTCTGATGTAGACGTAGGCCAGCAGAGAGTTGCTCACCACTGCCCCTGAGTTTTCTGGCCCGTCTGATCTTTTGATAGCAGGCTCTTCCAGATCTGCCGGAGATGCTTTTGGGAACATTACAAGCACGATAAGAGCAAAAAGTAAAAGATAAAAGCTTAAAATTGCAGTAATTAAAAAAAAAATCTACCTTTTTCTGTAGTAGGAATCAAGGCGGTGTCCATTATCTTTGGGTCTGCTTCCTTCAGTAAGGTCTGTGGAACTATCATAAGAAGGACAACGGAGGAATCTTTGCATCATTAATGTGAAACGGCTGTAACTTACCACGAGTGAGCTGCAAAGTTAGCACGCACGTTCTAGAAAATGGGCCCAACAATGATGGAAAGAGGAATTCACTCCACTTCCTGACTCCACATTACGATACATGAACAATGTAGCTGTGCCTGTTCCATAAAGTCTACGAGGATATAAAAAGAATGCAGTGTGTGTGCGCATGAGATAAGATCAGAAAAGCTGATAGCAGGGCCCATTGTAAACACTCAGTGTAAGCTTCAAATGCTCACTAATCAAACTAACACAATGAACAAGGCCACATCACGTTGAACTTATTTTTACTTAAAAATCCCCCTTTCATGTTGCGCTACATGTCTGTAGTTCCATTATGCGAGTGAGGAAAGAGAAAAAAGGTTCCTACCACAGGAATACAGCACAGTGAGGTACTTCCTGGTTCCTGGAAAGCAGGGGTCCCTAAAGGTCTGGTTGCCGACAGCAACGGCACACTTTTGTTTGCTGTAGCAGGACTTGGACACCAAGTGCACGGCCTCGTGGTTCAGACACTCTGAAGGGAGCACCAAAGACTAAATCAATGACAGCTGTTGAGACGTTTTCTCCAAACACTGAAACATCTAAACTACTAATGCTGAGTCAGCATTCACGCCCTCGTTTTCCTGTTTGTAGCCTATTCTGTAGAAGAGTTTCATTCGGGCCTAAAAAAATCCGACCCAGCCCGTAGCCATTTTTCCGAGCCAGACCCGATCAAATTAACTAATTTTACAGGCCCGAACTCGCAAAAACAAAAACAAATAACATTGTTTTTATTAAGCTTTCACCGCTTTTGTAAGCAAATCAGTTTGACACGATATTGCAAAAATGTATTTCAAAGAAAGGAAGATATAAGATTTCTTGTTTCTTGTTTCACCAAATGGATATTAACATACAAAACAAATAGTCTAAAAGATCAACTGTAAAGACAGGCTATCATACAGATGAACAAAACTATTTTTAGAGCAACATTATTTTGAAAAATATAGAACAAGGCTGTTTTAATTGAATGCGCTGCTCGCTTCAGCTTTTGTTGATGCTGCTACTTCCTTCACCGCAGATGACAGCAGGCGCGGAGATGTGCGCGGCCGGTGATCAGCAAATCCATCCATTATTTTTACCTGCTTCTTCCTTTTCAGGTCGCGGGGGTCGCTGGTGCCCATGTCCTACCATCCCTGTGCGAGAGGCGGGGGACACCCTGGACAGGTCACAAAGTCCATTTCAAACAGCAAGTCAGCGAATGCGTGCGGCCGGTGACAGGTTGTCCATCTGAGCTTAACACGACTGTTTTTAACTTCTTTCAACCAGCCGGTCAGACCTGCCTCCTCCTCAACAAGTAGATTAACACAAGTTTATATTATGCATTTAGTTTTCTTTGTGCTGTACGAGTCATAAAACCATATCATAGAAGCCTGAGCCCACGTGCGCCATTATTGCGCAATGCGCCAGCGATCTCTTAGTGAACTTGCTGCCTCCTCCTCTACAAGTAGATTAACACAATTTTATATTGTGCATTCTTATTTAATTTCCCTATGGGATTAATAAAGTATTTTTGAATTGAATTATTTAGTTTTCTTTGTGCTGTATGATTCATTAAACCGCATCAAAGCCCAAGACCAGCCCGGCTCAAATCTGGGTCGGGCCGGGTTCGGGTTAGAAATGACAGCTCCATTCTGTTAGCTCAAACTAATTCTGCATGTTTTCTTTTACCAAAATATTTGCTCGGTTGGGAGTATTAAGTAGTGACATTTAGTATTTATAACTTAAACTTTTTTGTATCTTTTAACTTGATTTACAAAATAATTCCCCATAGAAATGCACTTAGATATCTTCACTTCCTGTTTGTCAGATTCTTTTTAGCTCGTCGTGCTAATTTTAATTTTTGTTGCTGCAGTTTTATTGCATTTATCTTTTAGCTAATGTTTAGATATTTTTATCTTTTAGCTACAGTTTGGCTGGTTTTTTTTTTGTTTTTGTTTTTTTTGCTTTTAGCTATAGTTTGGCAAAATCACGCTTTAAGCTCTTGATTTGCTAATTGTAGCTTTTTGCTACAGGTTTTCTGAATTTTGCTTTTAGCTTCTAATTTGCTTCTTTTTGCTGTTATATGTTTGCACTAAATTTAACTACAGTTGAATTGGTTTTAGCTTGTAGCTTTTTGCTAATCTTAGCTTCAATTCTGCTTATATTAACTTTAACAGCTCTGTTAACAATTAATTCTTCAACAAATATCAGCACTCGGGCTGCATTTTAGCAGAAAAAGTGATTTCTCTAGTTCAATATTTGAGGGAGTTTTGCTGCAATTAACCCAAACAGTTTGTTTTTTAGCAATCATCTGATCCTTGTAGCCAAATAGTGTATGCAAGGTAGTTTTTTCTCGTTATAATTTAGATAAATAAGTGTAAATTAAGTGACCTTGTTTTTTATTTCACATCACTTTCACAGACTTGTCTCACAACCCATACTTTTATTACATACACCAGGAAAAGCGCAGGTGAAAATACAACTTGATGTCATTAAACACACCTGTCTCTACCTGTTAATGTGCTGTTTTTACTTGTTTTGTTTTGAGTTATTTTTTATTCTCATTGTCATTATTCAAATGTGTGTGTGTGAGTGAAAAACTCCTCATAAATCAACCTAATTTCTGTTTTGCCATAAGTCTTTTGATAACCATCACAGAGGAAAGTACAAATGGAAAGAAGCAAATCAATGCTGGCTGCGCTCCACTCAGCTGTGGGGCTTTTGTGTTCCTGCTTCGCTATCACACGGTCGTCGTGGCAAGAGGCCAACCGATGCGTGTAATCAGAACGATGACGGTCTGCACAACGTTTGTGGAAATTATTGAACGTGTGTTGGACTTTAAATGACCACAGTGAAGCGTGTTACTTCCTGTTGGGTTTAAATGTGAGTCAGACGCTAAAGGAGAATTTAAAAACCCTTTTCGTATGAAACTCGCATTAACTCACCGAATGGAGGTGATCCGGCCAGGTGAGAGGGGCAGATGTCAGTCTGGCCCAGACTTCGACCGTAGACAGCCGCGTAGATGTTCAGGACTTTGGGGGGCTTACAGCGCAGGACCATTACGTCTCCTTCACATACCATGTGCTGTTTGTGCTCAGCTGAAGGGGAAAACAAACGGTAAAGATGATGAGCTGGTGGGACATACCTCAATTCTATGCTCATCCTTAGAGAAATCATGGACTCACTGGGTTTACATTTGTAATCCACATGCAGGTACTTGGCAGTGCCAGGGCAAGGGTCCTTCCCAAACAGCAGGTGATTGACAGGTAGCCGGCAGTCTCTGTGGCTTTGACACTCAGATAGCAGCTTCTGCACAACCAACCAGTGACATTTTAAAAATCCAGCATACAGTGTTGCAGCCTGACAAAGGGGAACTCAAAGACAACTAACAACAACGCATTGGTAAATTAAAGGCAAAATCTGCCTTCATGACTCCATAAGACACTTAATGCATTTACTGCCAAACTAAAATGGACCGGTGAACAGTAGTAGCTCCTCCTACACAAAAAGTGCACCTGCAGAGCAGTAAACGCCGAGCAGCCATGGTTACTGCGGGGCCCGGACGGAGGCTCCCCTTCACAGAGCAGGACCTCGCCGCTCCCGTAGAAGGCCGACTGGATGGAGATGGTGGAGTGGCGAGGACAGTGGAGCCTCAGAGGCGTGCCGTCGCAGGCGTGAGCGGAGTGGCTGGTGATGATCTTCGACAGGTAGTCTGGGGAACAGAAGACACTGCGTCACACACACGGCATCGCACCATCGTCAAAAACGCACATTAGTTCCATTTAAGCAACACGAACGATGATTTCTCAACGCGAGATGTTCAGTATAAAACTCTGCCATTAAATGCAGCAGGTGATGGAATGGGAGTCTTTTCATTCGTTGCTTGTTTTGAATGAGGATGTAAGGGGCCGGATCGAGATGGTCCAGGGGCTGCTTTTGGCCCACGGGCCATAGTTTGCCCATCTTCTTACAAATCTGATGGCTTTGGGCTCCTTTTAGTTAGCGCCAAAACGTTTGCAGTGCTTCCAACGTGACATTACTTTAATATTTGTTGCATTCAGAGGCATTTGCAACATTTTCTTTCAAATCTTGGAGAAGCAGCTTCACAGAGCAGATCACGTGTTTACAACTCTACAAAACAAGCAGAAGTTTTCACCTAGTCTACATCATTACACCAGCTTTACTTCACTTATTTTTATTTTATTTTTTTTTGGGGGGGGGGGGGGGGGGGGGGTCCTCATCTTACTTGAAAAGTCAGAAAGTCCGTTCAAGCCTCTGCTCCACAGGAGCAAAGTGAGACACAGGAGGCTGTGGCTCCAGTCCAGTCCGTGGAAAGGACGCGTCCAGCTCGTGACTCGCATCTGTCCCTTTAATCATATTAGGCAGTCTGAGTGAGAAGCCAAAACAAGAAGAGGGTGTGAGGGGGGGTCCACAACACCGGAAACGTGGTTGCTAGTTGAAGCACAGCCACAGAAAAAGCTTCCAGATCGCTTCGAGTCTTTAGTCCACGACAGCGACTGGTTCGGAAACAGCAGCTGCGCAACAAGTTGCTCCAAAAGTGACGCGGTCCAGTTCTCCCAGTCCCAGTCGGGCTGTTTTCGCCCGCGAACAGCCCAGATCTGTGGAAACTCGAGGCGACCTACAGGAACAGCTGTGGGGGGATCATGGAGAGGGAGTGGCGCATCAAACTATCCGAGACCAAACGCGCTGCTGTGACGCACGACGCACTGTCTGCTCCGTGAAGCTGCTCTTTACGATTCCATCTTTTTTTTTTTTTTAACATCTGTCAGTTTGTGCATTTCCTTTTTCTCCAAACATCAAGTCATCAAAGTGTCAGACTCTTCTTTCCTCATAATCACCATCTTCTGTCTCTATGATCATTTTACTTTTAATCTAATCTGAAGAAAAACTACAAATATACTATCCCGCCTCCATGCACAGGCGCTACTAATGAGGGGCTGAGGGGGGATCACACCTCCTATAAATCCACCCCCCCTCCCTCCCCTGGCCAGACAGTGTGTGTTAATCCGCCTCGCCTGAACCAGAGGACCAATTTTAATGAATCTCACACAGCAGTGTAGAATGTACATCTATGAGTGACTCACTTTTGGAGTCACCTTGAAGTAAGTTGGCCACCACAGCTAATCAACATTTGCAAATGCAGCTACAACTCCCATCCATTTTTACAGCCACTGAGCTGAAATGTGATGTGGTAGCAGCTAAAAGTCATCCCCAACACACTCGGAGCACCAACACGGTGCAAAACTTTTGGCATGCAAGATAGAAGGTGCTACGCATTCCCTCATGGAAAACCATAAAAAACAAATAAATGAAACAATCTCAACTTGTATGCATCCTTTATGATTGTCTATTATTGTCTTTGTTGTCTACTGTCGTCATCACTGTTTGTTAAAATCAGGTCTCTCTGAGTCCCCGAGGCTCAATGGGAATAATCTGTATTAATAAAGTTTGAAAGAAAAGTTTAGTTTTAATTCTGTGACTTTAAAAAGAGGCAGCAAGCGTAGTAATACCAACTGTAAAGTTAAAATATATTAGTGCCACATTGCAGTAAATTTTAAATAGCTTATACGTATTAATAGCATAATACAACTGAAATTATTATGGCTTTTAATTTTGTCGTGGCTCCTCAAAATGATCAGTGGCCCCCATCTGAAAGTGTCTGTCAGTTTGTGTGTCACGTTAGCAAAATATCTTATGAACCAGTGGATGGATTTCAATGAAAGTCCCAGAAAGTAATCATTGGGCAACTGATAACTTTCAATCAGCCTGATTCAAGATGGCCACAACAGCTATGTGACTTTAGCCAACACAATAAAATGACTCCAGCTCAAACGTGTCCGCAGGTTTTTAATGTTGTATAGTTGTAACTAGAGTCAGTCACTGCAAAGCACTAAAAGATTCTCTTGGTTTAAAAATCTGCCATGAAAGGCAGCAGGCAATAAACATTCCTTCAAGGAATACTTTGACCTTATTTTATTGCTTTTATTTTAAAGTCGTTGGTCGTATTTCTCAAACTGTAGCCCACCTGTCCGTGTCAGAATTACAAAAATACTTTAGATAAATCTGAAATTATTTGATCAAAACAAGAACATGTTCAGCTGCTATTTAACACACCATAGTATTTTACATTTTTGGCTTTTGTTATTTTGTTAGTCGAAGCACTTTGTGATTTTTATCTTGAGAAGTGCTATATAAATAAAGTTTTTCTTACGTTTTTATTAACATATATTTTAGATCCTTATATACCATTTCTTTTATATCTTATATTTTGGGGTGATCTTGAGTACACAATTTCATTCCACCTCGTGTACCACACGTGATGTGAATGACAATAAAGAGCCTTGAACAACCCTCGACTATAGAACAAATGCACTGCACACTAATACCTGTATTATGGACATATTTATTATCACAGTATCAGTGTGTATATATGTA